TTGCTGACATCTATGAAGTGATAGAACTTTTTAAGAAAGACATAGATGTAGAGATACAACGGATGGCAGAAAGAATGGAGGCAAAGGTACGAAAGTATTGGTTTGAGAATGATGATGATGATGATGATGATGAGGTGGAGAACCTTAGGATAAATAGACTGGTTTACATGGCTTGTGTGCTAGATCCTAGGCCTAAAATTGCTTATTTGTCTTGGATGTGGGGTAAGATGTATGGGAAGAAGAAAGGAGATGATTTGGTGAAAGATATGACTGCAGAGATTACTGCAATGTTTGAGGTTTACAGATTGAAGTATGCACCTCAACCCTCCGAGCTTACTGTTCAGGCCACTCTTAGTGTTGATGATGGTACTGGATCTGCATCTTATGGAGGGACATTTGATGCTGAATTCAAGAAGATGAGAAAGGAACAACTTCAGATGGGGATTCGAGGTTTTCCTGAGCTAGACATCTACTTAAGAGATGCTAATGATGCTATTAACGAGGATGATAATGATATGAAGTTTGACATCTTGCTGTGGTGGAGTAAGAACGGCGTTAGATATCCGATTCTTTCCCAGATGGTTAAGGATATCCTAGCTGTTCCAGTCTCCTCTGTTGCCTCAGAGGCCGCTTTCAGTTGTGGAGGTGGAGTGCTCAGCCCGTTTAGGTCTTCTTTGAGCCCCATCATTGTAGAGGCCTTGATTTGTGCTGAAGATTAGATAAGGTTTGAAGGAGGGAAGAAAACAGAAAAAGTTGATGATAAAGAAGATGAAAATCAAGACCAAATCGATTATGAAACTGGTAAGAAATAAGAATTCATAATTTAATTTATTTTTAAGTATTCTTATACTCATTTCTCAATAATATATTATAAGATGAATTCTAAGTTCTAACAATTTGTATTTTTTATTATACTTATTCACTACTAACTTCTAAGCTCGAATGGAAAGTGCTACTGTCATGCCAAGTGAAGGCGACAAACAAGGTTTACCTGTTGTGCTGGAGGAGGAGGAGAAAGATGAAGAGCATGAAGATTCAGACGAGGATGAGGAAGACCAAGATGAAGAGGATGATGGTGATGATACCCTTCGCACCACTTTGAAGCAACAAGGTTTTGTTGATGTTGATGGTACAGGTCCTAGTGGCAAGTGAGGAACTAGTTATTCTATTTTTTATCGTCATTTTTAGAACTTAATTCAAACATTTAGAAGAAGCATGCCAGAGTGCCAGACTGCTCCCTTGGGAATTATAGCTACGTGGTACTTACTATTATAAAACTACAATGCTATTTTTTATCTTCATTTTTTTATATTTGCTATCCGGAATTCACTTGTTGGATTACAGTTTTTTTTTCATATAATCATATTTGTCTTCTTCTTTGTTGGATTACAACGAAACAATTAAACAAATATATTGCTCATGCTCATGAGCTCATCTAGTGAAATGGTATTTCATTCATATAAATATATAATCATATTTGGTAGCCTGCTACTTGCTAGAGTGCTAGTGGACTAGTGGTACAAGTTGCTAGTGGGTTTGGACGTTTGGACGTTTGGTAGCCTAGCCTGCACCCTACTGGCTACTGCATTGGTATTTGGTAAATGGTATTTTATTTATTTCATTTTCATATAATCATTCGTATTATTTATCTTCTTCTTTTGCGTGTACACTAAAAGGAAGCAAAGGCCAAACTCCAAAGTGCTGCAGTGGACAGTGGTTACTGGTTACTGGTTTTGTTATAAAAAAATGCTTTCTTTGTGCTTAGGGGAGAGAGACACGTTGTCAGTTGTCATTGTCACAGTGTCACTCACCGAATTCAAATGGGACAGACCAACAGACTCAGACAGACATGACATTATGGGACAACATTCGGTATTTCGGGACACCGATTCCTTACCCGAGACCGTCCCAGTTCGGCTGGCAGTATACCGATCTACTTCGGTATCGGCTAGCGGCGGCTGCAAGGGAAATCCGGTATACCCGAAACCGGATAAACGGTAACCGGTAAACCGTTAACCGTACCGTTTGCACCCCTAACCGTAACAAATTATTTGAACTCTTTGTTATTGCTTCTGTTGAATGGTTGAGGGATGAAGGTTGAGTACGGTCTCTTGATCCTCTAACCTGCCAGAATTGAGTGTGAAAAGCAAGCGGTGGTTGTTTTTCATTGGCTCTTTGAACCGGCGTCTGCCTATTCCTCCTTTGATGACTCCAAGTAAAGAAAGCCTAAATTTTTCGATTTGGATTGAAAGGCTTATGATTACCTTATACTAGCACCAAAGTCCGCCCTGCACGGCGGCCATGAATTTAGTATTTGGCAACTACCATAAATATATATAGTTAAGCTTATGAAGAATGACATTATTGATTTATCACACGATAGTATTAAAAATAATATATTAAACCATTTCACAATAGCAATGCGTTTTGAAAGGTATAGAGAGTAAATTGTATTGGAAATTTGACATTGTTTTATTTTCTTAGTGCGAGTCAGATGGAAAGCAATTAGGTGACGGTAAAATGGTACATTCATACCTTCACCCTTGCTTACTCATGTTACGAACACCTCCAATTAGGTGAGATGTCTAGACACGACATTAGCTCCTTCAACATGCTTGCTTGTGGCGATAGGACCAACAAGTCTATCTTTCATCCTGCTATGACATCCTCCAGTCTTTGCAACACCCTAACCGGTCGGGTACTACTTTTATCAAAATACCCTTTACAAACATTGAAACAAATCAGAACCAAAAATACTTGAGAAAATAGCGGAAACTTTTCATAATTAACTTTAACAAATACTGAAAAGCACAATCATTGCTTAAACACAAAGCCTTAACACTTGGGCAACCTCAAACCTTAAAAACCTTAATCTCCAGTCTTACTACTAAACCTAAAGTACAATAACTAGAAGTCTATGCGGATGTTTGCTCCGATCCGATCACTGACATCCTCCGTGATGCTCGTACTGTTCTCCTCCAGTTGGCTCCCCCTGAGTCGTTTCTCTCGCTCTCGCTGCTCTCTAACTGCTTCTCCCGCTCTTCCTCTTCAAACTGGTAAGTGAGTTGGGGTCAGTCTACGCCCTTAGGTTTTAAAATATCTAGTACTTGAATACTTTACTTAAGACATTTAACTTAAACTAGTTGAAGTTGTTTGTACTTCCACTCTTTAAAATCTCAACTCTTAAATTGTATGGGAGTTAAAGTTACTATCCATTCCTAAAAGGCAAAATACACTTACATAGCCACAACTTTGACGTTTGTGACAAATATAGCCACAAATATAAAAAAAACCCAAAATAGTCATTTTCGTCCATCTATTTAACGGTGTCAGTTAACAGTATGACTGGACTGACGGAATAGCTGAGTTGGCAAAATTTCGTCCCCACCAATCTATGTGGATTAACAGATAAATAAAAATAAAAAAGGAAAGGCTGGGATTTATCTTTAAAAATTAAAACTGAAAAATGATAAATGGAAACCCTGCAAAACGCCCAAACCTGTTCATCTTCCTCTTGCCCCAGAACCCTTCCATCACCGAGCTCCAAATACTCCGACGAAACCTTCTTGTGCTTCCTTTGACGACGATTGGCGTAACTAGAATTAGAAGCCACCGGGTTCTTCCTGAATGACGTAGGTTGCCTCGCCGTATTCTTCTCGGATCCAAAATCCAGATCCAAAACCAAATCGGTGGAAACGCGAACGGAACACGATTAATCGTCTTCCTCTTCTGAATCCAGAGTCTTCGCAAGTAGATCCGTCGTCATTATATTCAATACTTGGAGGTTTGTCTATCATTGGACCTAGTCTTCATTACGCAAACTCCATATACTTCTCTTTATTACTCTTTTGGTCCTCCAGAGTTTTCCCATGCTTGGTGGCTTTGTACCCTGAAGACCATAAAAAAAACATACCAATAAGACTATCATTTTCCCAACACCTTATGAAAATGGGAGATCTTTTCAAAAGCATTCATTCAGAAGTTAATTCCACCTTGGCGGAGATAGAATCTTAACTAAGTTTCATCACAAAGAAGGAGAAACGTTAACGACGCTTGGAGGAGATTTTAGGAGAATTTGAAGGAGTGCCCCATCATTGATTCATCACCCTTCCACCTTGGCGGAGATAGAATCTTAACTAAGTTTCATCACAAAGAAGGAGAAACGTTAACGACGCTTGGAGGAGATTTTAGGAGAATTTGAAGGAGTGCCCCATCATTGATTCATCACCCTGGAGTAAGTGGCAAAGTATTTCACCAAAGACCTAGGTTGAGACACCATGATAATGGTGAACCAGTAAGCCAATAATGATTTCACACAAATGACGGGAGTCATATGCCAGGAGCACTCTGCCACACTCACAAGGAAGAAAAATAATTGGTCCAAAAGATCATTGATAAATCAATTGAAAGTGTCCCAATGAAGCGAGGAGTGAATATAATCTTGCATTAGCAGATGAAGGAGGTTTCTCAACAACTGAAGGATGCCTAGTGGAGTCAAAGGAAGGACTAGCTCTAATATGATTCATGAGGATAAGTAGGTCATGACGATCAAGGTTGCTAGAACATGCTAATGTCAATTATGTGAATCAAGGTTACCAATGGAAATCTCAAGGAGGATATGCCCCATACCAGAGCAACGCCCAACCCACTATACCATGTAGTCAAGAAACTCAATCCATAAGGATTTGGGAGCCATCCACAATATAAGGAGCAAGGAGCAGGTTCTTCAATTCATCAATCTAATCTTTTCGAGAAGCTGTAAACTACAGTTCATAGTTTGCAAGCTAGTTTTTAAAACATTAAAAGTCAACTTGCAATCCTGCTTGCTGTGAGACCCTAAAAGCCTCATGGGAATCTCCCCAACAATACAGAGAACAACCCAATAATTTCAACAAAATTTGGCAATCACTTGAAGGAACATGCAATTATTTTCACTCAATGCAATAATTTGAGAAAAGAATTTCTTGAAAAATCGGATGCCTCATGTGATAATACTATAACCTTTTATTGAATTTTTTCTAAGTGGTTGTAAACATATACAACGAAAATAGCCAAAAATCGGAAGTATAGGTACTAAGGATAAAAAATAGAAAAAGAAATAATAAGTCATACACAACAACACAGATAAAATGGCAAATTCTCGATTCATGTAGTAGCATGACGCCTCCTCATTTTAATCTATTAATTTTCACTCCAAAACTGCTTTTGGAGGTAGTCCACCAAGTTCTTGTCCACCTGGAACGCTTTGGTGAGGACATCAGGATTGATGGCAGGATCAGAACCAAAGACAGCATTGACAATAGTAATTGTGCCTGGATTTTGGCTGCTCAGTCCGGCGAAAGCAATAGCGTTGGTATTGGCCACGTTCAATTGGAAGTGAATGAGACCGATTGGGAAGACGAAAACATCTCCAACGTGTAGAGTTTTTGTGAAGAGCTTGGGAGGGTTGGAGGTGACAAACCCAACATGGAGAGTGCCCTTGACCACCACAAGAATTTCGGTGGCACGAGGGTGGGTGTGAGGAGGATTGAGACCACCATAAGGGGCATAGTCGATACGAGCCAAAGAGATGCCAAGAGTGTTGAGCCCTTTCAATCGATCGACATTAACCAAGGTGACGTTTGAGCCAACCGGATTGGATGTGTTTCCGGGCATGTTGAGGCCACGAAATGTGAAGTCATCGGCATTGGCTTGCATTGGGTCCTTGCAGAACTTCCCATTCACAAACACTGCATATGTAGAGGAAGTTCCCATTAGGCATTTATCATGCATAGTCAAACAAGAAATTACAAGGCAAGTAAAGAGGTAGACATGATATAGAGTGAGTTTAATTTGCTCGAGCACGAGGAGTGGATATATATGCGTACCACCGAGCTTGGGGTCGTCACTGGAGACACAGAAGTCCTGAAGAGGGCTTGGGTCGAATGCTGCCGCAATGGACGCGAGAAGAAGAAAAGTAACAGCCACTACAGAGTGCAGCTGATCAGCTCCTCTCATCATGCTTCTACGTTTATGTGAGCTAACAGTGGTAATTGTAAATGTGGATATCTCAGTTTGTTTGTTGAATTGTTTGTGCTTTATTTTGTCGAGGCAGGGTGAGATATCCTACACCCAGACTGCTAGCTACTTATATAGCTAGCTGCATAGCTAAAGGGTTGAAGCAGTCTCGTGCATGTCGTCTCTTGAAAGATCGATCATAGCAGCCTGGTCTCGTTTGAATTGTTAAAACTTAAAATTATTGATTAATTAATCTTGTTTGTGAGAGTTGAAAATAATTTACCAGTTCCACGGATGCACCCTAGGATTTGGTGAAGACTTGGGATCATTGATGATGATGGATATATGGATGTGTTTGTTTCATCAACTGAGATACGTGGTACCTAACCTTTTTTCATTAAGGTAGAGGCAAGTTACCGACGTCATACGTACAGCGGTTGAAAAGTCAAATGTTGGAACTTGGAACACTTCCGTATTAACTTTCCTTGCTCCCACACAAATTAAAAAAGATTAATTACATTGCAATTATTTTTGTGTTCTATCATGGAGCGAACGATGTCAAAATGTCTCAAAATGGTAACTCAAATGATGGAATATATAGTCTCTGTTGCTGCTGCACGCATGCTCCTATGACTTTTTCGACGTTAGTGTGGCTGCTTCTGCGACGGCGTGGCTATGGTTAAGCCTAGTAAGGCCCTGGCTATGGTTAAGAAAACAAATCATGGGTTAAGATGGGTTAAAGGCAGTATGTGTTCTTCGATGATATCTATTTGTTTACCATTAAAAAATTACTCAATACCACATTGATTATTTTCAATGAGTGGTAGTGATTTATAAGACCAACTTAACCATATTAATTAAATTGGTTTAAGCTGGGCCTAAATGATGGTATTTTGGGCTTCATACCAAGTACCCCTCAACACACACCACTTGACCCACCAAACACCCACCCGTCACGCAAAAGGGGTCAAGTGCCAAACGTGTTGACACTAAGAGAGTCATACAGAAACTAAGACTGGATATCTAGCCGACAAGAAGGACTTGATAGCCAGACATCAAGGTATCAAGACAACAAGACAAGAAATTCGACTAAGGCATGGTGGCTAACTGAGGTACCCACCCAACTAGGTACCAAACAGCCATGGATGGATCGGCCAGGATGCCGATCTAAGCCCTTATGGGCCCATATGGAGATAAAGTCCCAAGACTCGCTTGGTAGCACCTTAACGGGGTATCAAACCGGAAGGGTTCAACTTACCAACTTGACGAGGCAAATAAAAACTAAGTATGGAGACCAAGCCACTAGGGCTGGCTTGGTAGCAAGGGGTGGCATGCCGGAGGGTATCAAGCCGATGAGACAGTTTGGTAACAACCAACAAGTTAATGAGGATGACTTGGTGTCATGAGGTGGTAGAGGTCTCAGGAGCGGGGTGTCATCAAGCAGTCGAGGGTGAGATCAAGGCCTCATCATGGTTCATGGAGGCTAAGGCAAGAGCCTCAACCGCATCCAATGGCGATAAAGCTGAACACCAACCCGACCCGGCATCGAGGCCATCAAGTACCCACCTGCGCCAAGATGGGACAAGGGCCCTCAAGACGACGGTTACCAACTAGTCACCAAGGCGGCGACAACGACCCCGAGGCGGTTTGGAGCAACATGTCGGCTAGCAGTTACCATGGCGGTTACCAAAGCAGTTACACCTAGTGGCTATAAATAGGAGAAACGAAGAAGAAGCAAGGGTTCCACAACCAAACATTTGACGCACAATGTCAAACTTTATCATTTTCTCTATAGGTGTCAATCGGGCGGGTTCGGGTCGGGTTCAAACGGGTCGCGGGTTGATCGGGTTGCGGGTCAAACGGATTGCGGGTCAAGTGAGTTCGGGTTGATCGGATTGCGGGTCAATCGGGTTGCGGGTTGGTCGGGTTCCGGGCTAATCGGGTTCGGGCTGGCCGGGTTGTGGATCAATCGGGTTGCGGGTTAATCGGGTTCGGGTTGATCGGATTGCGGGTTACTCGGATTATGAACAGGTCGGGTTGCGGATTGTTCAGTCCAAACCATCGAGTTATCTTTTTTGAATAATTAGTTATTACACAATTAAAAATAAACTCACCAATCACTATTTTACAATGAAAAAAGTCCATAAGGAACACAATTTGTTGTTTCAGTTTTGGGAATTTTTGAGCAAGCTTGAGTTAGGCCTTTCTTTTACTTCTTAACTATTGAGTCAATTGATTAAAGAATTAAAAAAACGTATATTTATGGTATATATATATATATGGTGGCTACTTCGGGGCACTGGCTTTTTTGGGTGTATTCAATACACCCAACTCTAAAAGTAGCCATAGACATCAAATTTTGAATTTTAACTGATAGCATTAGTCTAATATGATGATATAACAAAGAATCTCAACTAATCAATCTATTATCTTAACCCCTACGGGTAAAATCCGTGGTATCTTATACCTTGAGTATGAAATTAGCAGGTTTTTTGGGCATGATACTATACCCTAACCCTTAATGAGTGAACTCTAGGTCCTAATTATATAAATAATAAACTATAAACACCAAGATTTTGCATTCATTTTTTTGCCTATATTTGGACGAATTATAACCGTCGATTATTCTTTCTAATTAAATTGAACTTGGGGTCTAAGATTTAGAGAATTAAGACCTAAATTTTGATCTTTAAGGGTTAGAGTATAGTATCATGTCCGAAAGATTAGTCAATTCAAGTTCTAGATGGCGTTTTCTTACTCAAGGTATGCGGTACCCCGGATTTCACCGGGTATATATATATATATATATATATTCTTTTGGTAAGAGGCGTTTACAGATTTGAGAATTTGGGGAGGGAAATTTAGACTTGTCAAATCAAAAAAAGGAGGGAGAGGGTTTGGGAATTTGGAGAGGGAATTTAGACTTGTCCAAAATAAAAAGGAGGGAACTAAAGGGAAAATATTTGGAGGTTTTCAAAAGTGTTTTTACAGGTTTGGGAGGGAATTTTATAACAAATATTTGGAGAGTTTTCAAGAGTGATGTTAACATTTTAAATTCAATTTTTTTAACTTTTTGGTGAACATCTAAGGCCCTGTTCACTTTTATTTTCGTTTCCTGTTTTCTGTTTTCATGTCATAAATTTGGCAACCGAAATGAGAAAACTTGTTTACTTTTCATTCCGTTTTCTATTCGTTTCAACTATGAAAACAGAAAGTGGCAACTTCCTGCTGTTTTTGGAAACGAAAAACGATTGTTTTCACCTGTTTTCAACATCTGTTTTCTCAAAAACAGGAAACAGAAATGAAAGTAAACAGGCCCTAAGTCTACCTTTCTTTAATATTTATTATTATAGATGATAAATAAATCTTATATCGATTAGCTAGTTTGTTGTCTAACCCGTTGGTCGGAATGTCATTTGAATATGATATATTTATGAAGTACATTCTAAAGTTTTCAAAATATTTGAAATTTATATTTCTACCCAATAACTAAATTAGTTGTTAATATCGAACTATATCATAAAAATATGAAAATCGAAAAGTAAAACACCAAACAAATACTAACGGAAGAGTTAGTGGGCTAGTTAACCCTAACGAAAAGTCAAATGTGTTTAAGATTTAAGGGTTTCTATGATGAAATTGTTGGTAGAACATATCTTATGTGAAGAACGTAAGTTAAGTCAATTTTATATTAGGTTATTGTGAAGAACATACGTCCTAATCCTCCTAAGCCTAAACCATGACCTCTAACCCTATACCCTGAACTCTTGTTACATGTCATGAAATTGTTTGTAGAACATAGGTTATGTGAAGAACGTTGGTTAAGTCAATTTTAGATGTTATGACTGTAATGCTATATAAGTCCTAATCCTAAGATTCCTAAGAGATCCACATCAATGCAATTGCAAGGTCAATTACATATGGAGTTCTTTTTTCCACTTCAAAATTTTTGCAATCCAACTCATATGAATGTCATTGCACCTACATTAATGCAATCCGCTTGCAATTATAGAAAATAAAATTATGTCCCTGCCCCTTTTAATGAAATACCATCACCAATAACCCTTACAAGTTACAACCAAACTAGATATTTAAATACAAATAACACACAAATACTACATCCCCTAAAAATGATGAGTTATTTAACTATACGAATACCACATTCATGCATAACTCATCCAAACGACCCTCCAGATTAATTTAAGTCAATGTGTTTTGTTTTTCATATTAAGTCAACTTTAGAGTTTTTATAAGTTAATTTTTCATATTAAGTCAAGGATGGTCTTCCTAAGTTAAGAACCATTAATTATAAGTTAATTTTTATTTTGAAATTCAGTTTACAAAACGTAAAAAAAAATGCTTTGAGTAGGTTTGAGTCTAGAACTTTGAATTAGATAGACTATCACATAAGCCAACTAGTCCCAAACCAATTTGTCACAATTATAACTTGTTGTTTATATTATCATTTGAGAAAGTTTTAGGTTGTGAAAAATAATAAGTCGACCTACGTGTCTATTAATACTATTATGTGATTTAATTTAATAGGAATTGTCAACCGTCAACAAAAGTAATAAGGCTTTGTTGCTGGTGGGAAAGACGGAATTCAGTAGCAATTATTAACAGTCTCAACACAAAGTAAAACTTTGTTGCTGGCGGGAAAGATAAAAAAAAGGCAAAGCCTCTTAAATGTATATATATTTTTATCCACATATAAAATTTATATACTACATTATATTATATAGTATAATTATTATCTGTGTCAATCGGGCGGGTTCGGGTTGGGTTTATCGGGCTTGGGTTAGTCGGGTTGCGGGCCGAGCGGGTTGCGGGTCAAACGGATTACGGGTCAAGCGGGTTCGGGTCAAGCGTGTTGCGGGTCAAACGGGTTGTAGGTCAAACGGGTTGCGGGTCGGGCGGTTGGCGGGTCATTGACTTTTAGTCAAATCGGTTTGATCGGGCGGGTTACTCGGGTTGGGTCATGTTTTGACACCTATACTTTTCTCTGCAAATTAGCCATAGTTTTAGTTTTTGGAGCACTCACTGAACCTCCATAGGAGTAGAGTAACGTAACCTAG